TATTTGTAACATTATCCGTGGAAACGCGGGAAGGGATGGAGTGCCCAATAGCAAATGTCGCGAAACCCAGATAACGAGTGACTCGTTTTGTTACTAAGCCGTTTCGTGTATTTTTTTTAACGAGAATTGTTATTTTGACGAATTTCGCTTTCGAACATTGTTTTAAAAATTTTGTATAGTATTTTGTAAGTGCGTTGGAAAATTTGGGAATTTGAATTTTTTCTTGTGTGAGAGAGAGTATGGGACATTATATATTCAACATAATTTTTATATGTTTAAAGTGCGAAAAGTCCGATTCATTTTTATTCAGATTTATTTGTCGATATATTTACAATAAACACGATGAAAGAAACGACAGTATAAATATTATACTAATAAACCACAAAAAAAAAAAAAAGGACGGACATACTTTGCATGTGGGTGTAGCCACTGTTATAAGAAGTTGGGAAGGTAGGATACAGACGGGAATTTAATGTATATCTGTTAGCAACGATAAATCATTGCNCAGTATAAATATTATACTAATAAACCACAAAAAAAAAAAAAAAAGGACGGACATACTTTGTCTGTGAGTGTAGCCACTGGTATAAGAAGTTGGGAAGGTAGGATACAGACGGGAATTTAATGTATATCTGTTAGCAACGATAAATCATTGCTAACGAAAAAACGATTCTGAGCGGAATTTAGTTAATTGTGTTGCTTTGTCAACAATATATATGTCATATTATGGTAAACGTAAAATGATTACAATGTGCGTTTCCATGACACCATGACTGTTTAAAAAAGATTAAAATTATAAAAACTTAATAATAACAAAAAATAAATAAAAACCTTATTTTTAATATTTCAATCTTTTTTAACCTAAAGTCTCGGTTTTCCTCATTATCTTGAATATGAATGAAAATTTCAAAAAATGACCCCTTTATAAAGTATCACCAAGAGAACATTTCTTTTCAGAAATGGTGCTATACTGGATAATTAGAGTAAGCTATCTGGTAAAAAAAGTGTTTACATAAAAAAAAAAAAAATAAACATATTTGTTAAATCAAGACATTCTTCGTTAAGAATCTAGAGAATCTAAAAAAAAAAAAATAGTGTAATAAATCATTTAAATTTATACAGTTTAAAGCGATCTCATTTCGTGTGGCAGGTTGCGATCGAAATCTATTTAGAAATTTCACCGCAACCGTATAACAGGTACCTAAATGAAAATACATTTAAAACTAAATTATAATATAGAAAAAAAACTGATAGAAAAATTAAAAATTCGTTTCGAGTTAACAACTTTCAAAAAAACAAATATTTTAATTTTTTTTATTGGTATTTTTGAAATCTCACCACGTTTCAAGGTATGGTAATTATATTAAGCGAATCGTTCAACATTTTCAAATAGTTTGAATAGAATTTTATTGTACTGCAAAAGTACCAAAAATATATTATTTATGATTCGTTTAAACTTAATAAATTTTACAATATCCGATCAATTATTTTTAAATCAATATTTTCAAATAACTAATAAAAAAATAATAAAAAATACTAGAGACAAATATGCTACAGTTGTAGATAGGAAGCTGGGAAGGTAGGTACAATAGATACAATTATTTAATTTATATATTTACACAACTATGAAAAATTACTAACGAAAAACGTTTCTGAGCCAAGTTCTGTAATTTGTATAATTTTCATCTAAATTTGAACTTAAACTATTAATGAAAAAAAAAAAAAACCATTACATTATGCTTAACTTATTTCAAATGCTTAAAAATCAAAAAACGCCAGAATATTTTGAAAATGTTATCACGCCTAAAAAATACTAATACAGCTATTCTGTGAAAATGTCAGCAATCTATGATTAGTTTTAACTGATTTACAGTCATTAAATAAAATCGAAATTAATGAATTCGTTAATGCTGTAAACTTTCCTGTATTTCCAACATTTTTCACGGGTTAAACAATAATTTAGACAAACTCACGAAATATCAAAAATCGACCTTTTTTATTCACCAGCATAAAAAAATTTCTTTCAGAAAATATGCTACTCGGAATGTTATGATATGATATTTAGAACAATATTTCTGGTAAAAAACAAAAATCGTAAACATTAAAAACAAATGAAATAGTTACGTCCGTTATTTTCTTTATAGTTTTTCCAGTTATTTCCAATTATTATGAAAACAGTTAAAAAAAAAAAAAAATGAATACTCAAATGCACCAACATGATCCAATATATTAAAAAAATTAATTGTCTTAGAATTTTTTGATTGAAACGATATTTCTGGTAAAAAATTGTCTACAAACAAAAAATTAAAAATTGCATACTCCATAGTAAAACCAATTCATTCCTCGTTTCGCTCAGAACCTAAAGCTCGTCTTCGAGATCACAAAAACGAGTACTGTATTGAAAAAAAAAAAATTATCAGAAATTAATTATGGTAAAAATTGTAATTTTTTTTTTATATAAATTAAAAGAACATTATATTCAAAAACGATAAAAACCGTGAGACTTTTTACTCTGGATGATTTTTTTTTTTTTTTTTTAAATAGTAA